CTCTATCACCAGTCATATCATCGAAAAGCTTCCGTCTTCTCATGCCTTGGCCCAGCTTCATTGTGTCCTGTTGTTCCTGTCCAGTAACTTCCATTGGTTGGAGCTCCTTTTCATCCCCCGCTGACTCCCCCAACCCCTGTCCAGTCTCCTCATAAATGCCACACAGGACTTCTGCCACATCGAACTCTGACCATACTTGCGAAGAACCAATCTGAAGCTCCACCTCTTCTTCAATCCCTTTCTTTTCCACCTCATCTCCATTCCTTACTTCAGCTGCCTGCACTCTCACAGTAGCTTCACCAACACCCGCATTTGAAGGGCCCGCCTCCTGGCTGTCTCTAACCACAGGAACACTTTTTAATAGACCTTCAAAATCAGCCTGTAGATCTTGCCCCTCTTTGAACAGGCTGGCATATGTTTTTTTCCGATTAGGGCATACCCAGAACAGGTGGTCCACTCCTCCACATAAACTGCATTTCTTAGGTTTTGGACAAGCTGTTGCCATGTGCTCTGTCGATCCACAAAAGCGGCATCTCTGGCCTGCGCATTCTGCTTTCACATGACCCTGTGCGCCACACCTCCTGCAGTACACCGGCTGACCTGGATAGTGTAGAAAACCCCTGTTTGAACCAATGAAGAAGGAACCAGGCGGATGCACTAAACCTCCTTGAACAGCTGGGTCTGCACGCAGCTTCACCAGGTATGTTCTCTTCCCTGTCCATATACCATAACGGTCTTTCAAACGCTCACTACCTTTCACAGTCTCACAGTACCTGACCAAGAAGGTCAAAACATCCCCATCTTCCACAAAAGGATTGTAGAGGTGAATCGTTAAGGGCAGAAAATCTTGAGCAAAAGCCGGGAAAAGGCATCCATCGTCGCATCTTTCTTGACTTGAAAGCGCACTGTGTTCTTTAGCCGCACCAACATGGTCGGCAGTGGAGCATCCTCTCTGGAAACGTCCATTCTGGTCGATCGCAAACTTGATTTTAGCCAAAAGGCCGAGAAGCGATGACACAATGACGCAGAGGCGGGGGAGCCGACAAAGGCCACGCCCACCTGGGCCGCGGCGAGAGGGTCTAAGGTGGCCAACAAACAAGCTCAGCTCAGATTGGTTGTCACACCGAAAATGGATCACAACAGATACCCCTTTTCCACCAGCAAGAACCAGGTGCTAGTTCAGAGCTAGTGCTATTGCCGGTTCGGTGCTGGCTCGACTAACGAGCTTTTGAAGAACCGGTTTGCCTTTCCACAGGCCAGAGAGCCACCACAGAGCCAGGTCTTACGTCACTGTATACATCCCATGTTGCCCAGCAACGCTAGCGCGACAGCGCCAAACACAAACACACTAGGATTGTTCGAGATGCATCGGCTTCTCGCAGACCGATTGGCGCATGACATCAAAGCACTGCAAAAGCGATCGAAAAGCACAAGGATTCGTATGCTCTCCACACACTCCCGCAGCTCCGATCGGTGTGCGCCGCTCCGATGCATCTCGAACAAGCCTTCTATCAACAATGGCGGTCGCTGCGTTACTATTGATGCTCATGGCTTTGCGAACCTAACGTACATCGGCATCCAAACACGGCGAATACAACGCATTCGTGCAGCTTACCGTGACTTGCATAAACGGAGATTACAATCGAGCTGCTATTAGAGCTGCTATTTAAAAAATGGTGGTCACAAGTTTCTGTTCGCCTTGTTGGTCACGGTAACCCCGCCCCCAGGCGCTGACGTAAGCGGTTCTTACTTCTAGACCAGCAATGATTTGGTGCTACTTAAGAACCACTTTTACTGGTTCGGAGCTGGTGCTTTGGTGGTCGAAAAACAAAGAACTGATTTGAAACTAGGCTCTGGCTCCGAACCAGCACCAGCTCTGCCTTGGTGGAAAAGGGGTAAGAGTGCACAACACGACACTCTGGAGTGCAACCTGGGATTTTGGATCATCAACATTCTGCCATAAAAGTGAGCGGGCAGACCAAAGCCCGCCCGGTCTACAACATCACCAAGGCTCGCCCGCCCCTGTATAAGTGACTATGGTGCATTGAACCAACAATAATAAAAGGAAAAAATGACAGACAATTTTTTCACACAGCAAACAAGTTTTTATTAGAAATTAGAAAATCATGACTTGTAATTCCTTTTGGTGTGATTTACAAGCCATTGCTTTTTTTCTCTTGATTTTTCTACCCTCGTTTATAAAGATTTTTTTTTTTCGAATTTTACAATCTTCCCACCATTCACCCATAGAGTTATATAATGACTGCAAGCTTTTCCATTGACTCAACTTTCCTCTATATCGACGCACCACTTCCTGGTTATCTAGTAAGGTGATATTCAGTTTCCAAAACCCTATACCTTTCGCTCTTATCCCTCCAAGTTCTAATTCAGCATCCAATTTAGCATGGTCCGAGAAAAAGGTTGGGTTTACTCCTGAATTCAATACTGTTATCTGCGATGAGGTAAAAAGAAAATCAATCCTGGAACAACTCCGGCCATTAGACCAACTGTACCCAAGGCTATCTGGGTTTTTGGTTCTAAAGGAATCAACTAGTCCGAAGTCTTTAACTAATTTGATTAATTCTTGGGAACTTGAGTCCAAATTAACTGTGGAGGAAGACTTTCTATCCTTCTGGCTTAAATGGCAATTTAAGTCTCCTCCTAAAATAACTTCTTTCCCAAAAATTAGTAAAGATGGTATTGCTTTCAAGACTTCTTTTCGACTTTGTAGGTCTGTGGGGTAATATACGTTAATTACACGAAAACAAATATTGTCAAGTTTTACGTCAACATATATCAATCTCCCATTTACAACTTCTTGTGTTTTACAGATTTTTAAATCATTCCCTTTGAAAAAGGATAGCTACACCAGAAGATCTGTTGTTGTTGTCTCCAGACCACACAGACGGACCAGGTGTCCATCTGTCTTCTAGATATTTATAATCTGATTTAAAGGGGATATTACATTCCTGAATCAAACAAATATCATGATCTGCATTATATAAGTAGGAAAACACAGAAGTACATTTCACTGGATCCATGATACCTCTAGTGTTGATAGTAGAAACAGATAAAGGAACCATTATGGGGAGAAGAGAAAGGAGGACAGGCAAATAACGTTACGAAAGTTCTGTTTTGCTTTTCAGCCTTTTCCTCTTTTTCTTTTTGTCTTGTATTTCCGTTCTTTTTGGGAGCGGTTGTTTATTCATATGCATGGTACAAGAAAGAGTAGTTATTTCATTGGAATCAAGAAAGGTAGTCGAATTAGATGACAGGGATGCCCATTTGGGAGAGTCCTCTTGATCTTGGATTCCCGATGATACATTAGTCGATGGAGAGGAATCTATCCCTTCTGCCATTTGATCGCCTGATGAAGAGGAGTCTGAAAGAAGTGGAAAGGATGCAGGGAGAGTCCCCAAAGCATCAAGTAGTAAGTTTCCATTGCAGGACTGTGGTTTCTGTGTGGGAGTGGAGGAGCCCAGAAGAGGAAAATCCGTGAGTGATTTTGGCGTATTCATTTCTAAATTAATCTCTTGCGCTTGTGGAATCTTTTGTGATGTTGTTCCTTCCTGCCCGAACAGGATCCTCCTCGCCGGAAGACAGAGGAAGAAGGTCTCTCGGGGTAGCATCTTCACTCTGATCTGTTGTGGAGTTGATTGCTGAAGAATGTTGGTTGCTAAAGGGGAAATCATCCGTTTCAGTTGTTTCCGGAGGATTGGTTTCCTTTTCCCAAATCATCCCAGGTTGTTGTCGAACTTTATTTGCATATGCAGAAGGACAATCACGAAATCTATGATTATCTGCACCACACAGGTTACACTTCATAGGTACCGGGCAATTTTTTGACAAATGGCCGTGGTTTTTGCAGTTTCTACAAAAAACAGATTCACATTGGGCTGCTAAATGGTTCAGAGAGCCACATTTTCTGCATTCTTTGGGTTGTCCGTTGTAGAAAACAAAACCTCTAATTTTGCCTAATTGGATGATGGATGGCAAGTGGAGAAGCTCTCCTTTCTCGTTAGTTCTCAAACGAACATGAAATTTAGATGCTCCCATCTTAATTCCATCTTCATCTTTGATTTGAAAGGCTTTTGTACCTGAGCAATGCATTGAGAGCCAAGTAGATATATCCTCCATTTTAATCCTCTCTGAGTACATCATCACAGTCACAGTTCTGAGTTCTCTCTCAGCCAATGGAATCAATTCAATCTTTTGGAAGCAAGCAGCTTCCTTCTTTTTTGTTTGAAATCTTTCTAAGCACTGTTCGTATAGCAATAGAGTTGCAAAAATAACTTCAAAAGTTTTCCTACCCGGTAAGGCAAAAATGAAGTCCAGTTGAGAAGGGTTAAAACCCAATTCTGTTTGCAGTATCCTTCTGCGGAAAGTCAACCGATCCATTTCTAGATCTTCCAACAGCACGAATCTTGCAGCATTCCGTCGTGGTACTTAAACCGCCATTTGCTCACTCCAAACCCAAGGAGCGAAGCAGAGTAATCAGAAAAGAAATCTGAACCAAGGAAACAGTCCCTGGGTGAACCACCTTCCTGATCATGGTGTCTCCCCTGCCAGGAAAGTATGAATTCCCAGGCCTTCAGTCAGAAACACCCTGTCCCTCTTCGCATTCCTCACCAACGGTTTGACAATCAAACACACACACACACACACACACACACACACCTGATTCAACTCATCAGCTCGTTAGTAAAGACTCCAAGAGATAAGAGAGACATCAAAAATGTGCAGTGACGGGTTTTTTTTTTTTTTTTCATGCTCCGGCTCCGTGAGCCAAAAATCCATTTAATACGCAGTCCCCGGATAGTGGACGAATCAGATATTAAATGGATAGGAACAGAGTTTTTTTTTTTTTTTTTACACCACGATTCTACCTTTACTAGTACAGTATAGGATCACCTACAACACCCATACATGGCAATACACACTACTTCCATTAACACCTGCTGCCACATAACACCAAAACATTTCTTTCATTGAACACTTTAGGGGGGTGCACCGTTCCCAGAAGTACTGCAATACCGGGTCGATGCATGGAGTGGACGGAGCAAGCCCCTATTCCATCTCCCAGTTCCAAAAAGCAATTTAATACATGGTGCCCGGGTAGGGCACGTATCAAATATTAAACTGATAAGAACAGATTTTTTATTTTTATTTTTATTATTATTACACCAAACCATACATTACATCCGTCAAAATAAACACTGTACAACATAACTTGAATTTCTTTTGACATTCTTTCATAACATTACTCATGAAACCCCCCATCCCCCCCCCCCCCCCCCAAAAAAAAAACCTCACAAAATATGTCAAATCATAAAGTCCTCCTTCTCTTTACCCCACCCCCACTCTCAGTAACCCTCCCCATATTTTCTTTGTTATTTCCTCCCCAAAACACTCTTTGAAGGCTTTTACCTCAACTGTCATTTTACCCAAAAGTCTTGAGAACAATCTCTCCGGCGCCAAATGTGGTATTTGCTTCCTCAGACACACTGTTCTCCATTCCCACAATAAATGCTTACCCTCTGAAATCAATCCCCAAATTACCCTCCTACGCACTTTTTAAAATACTCCTAGACCCTCACCATATAGCACTAGGTTTCTTGTAATTTTTGGTCCCTCCCATGTCAAGTCAAGTCAAGTCATCTTCATTTATATAGCGCTTTTAACAATGGATTGTTTCAAAGCAGCTTTACAGAGATAAACATATAATTTAAGGTAACAGATTGTTTTGGCGTTATAGCGGTTCTTAAATAATGTTACTTCCAGCTAAAGTTAACTTTGATTGATTCACCTCCGTCGAAATGATCAGACTTTAAACGCGAACCTGTGATTAACGCTGACGGCGTTCACATGCTCATTCAGAATTCTATAGTTATGTGCTTTTTAAAATATGTGCGCAGGTTTGTAATTCATACAACCCAGCCTAAACAAACTACTTTTCTTGCCTATAAATTTTGATACAGAATTTTGTTTTATTTTATCACTTCGGGGTACGCGAGCCGGAATTTACAACGCTTTATCTGTAGAGTGGGAAAGGGATCCTCCATAGGGAGAGGATAGTGGATACTTCAGCACTGCATTGTCATCGGGTCCAGGCAAAGCTCCCTCGTCAGATCTGGACACGGCCTGGATCCGGCAGGCTGCGGGAAAACCTCGGGATAAACAAAGACACTAATATTAGCGTAGATGCCATTCTTCTTATGATGTAGCGAGTACATCAAGATTTAAGGGAAGTGTTCCCAGTTCCGGCTGACCTAATCTATGCAGCCTAACATTGAATTTATAGAAGTCTATAATGTATTATGTGTATGCTAGGTCAAAGAGATGTGTTTTTAGTCTAGCTTTGAACTGACAGAGTGTGTCTGCTTCCCGGACAATGGTAGGAAGACTGTTCCAAAGTTTTGGTGCTAAATAGGAAAAGGATCTACCGCCTGCAGTCGATTTAGATATTCTAGGTATTATCAACTGGCCGGAATTTTGAGATCGCAATAGACGTGAAGGACTATAATGCTTTAAGAGCTCGCTCAAGTACTGCGGAGCTAAACCATTTAGTGCTTTGTAGGTAATCAACAATATTTTAAAATTTATACGATGTTTAATAGGGAGCCAATGCAGTGTTGACAGAACCGGGCTAATATGGTCATATTTCCTGGTTCTGGTAAGAACTCGAGCTGCGGCGTTTTGAACTAGCTGTAGTTTGTTTATTAAGCGTGCAGGGCAACCACCCAGTAGAGCATTACAATAATCTAGCCTTGAGGTCATGAACGCATGGACTAATTGTTCCGCATTTCCCACTGAGAGCATATGGCGTATTTTAGATATATTTTTAAGATGGAAAAATACAGTTTTACAGATACTAGACACGTGGCTTTCAAAAGAAAGGTTGGTATCAAATAGCACACCCAGGTTCCTAACCGACGACGAAGACTTGACAGAGCAGCCATTAAGTGTTAGACAGTATTCTGGGTTATTACGTGTGGAAGTTTTTTGTCCAATAATTAGAATCTCTGTCTTTTCAGAATTTAGTAGTAGGAAATTACTAGTCATCCAATTTTTTATATCAGCTATGCATTCCGTTAATTTTGTGAATTGGTAAGTTTCGTTGGGTTTTGAAGAAATATACAGCTGAGTATCATCGGCATAACAGTGAAAGCTAACTCCATGTTTCCTAATGATATCTCCTAATGGTAGCATGTACAGAGTGAACAGCAGCGGTCCTAGTACTGAGCCTTGTGGTACGCCATACTGAACTTGTGATCGATAAGACATCTCTTCATTTACTGTTACAAACTGATAACGGTCAGTTAAGTATGATTTAAACCATGCTAGTGCAACTCCACTAATGCCAACATAGTTTTCTAGTCTATTTAAAAGAATGTTGTGGTCAATGGTGTCAAATGCAGCACTAAGATCGAGTAACACTAATAGAGAGATACAACCACGATCGGATGACAAGAGCAAATCATTTGTGACTCTAATGAGAGCGGTCTCAGTGCTATGGTACGGTCTAAATCCGGACTGAAAATCCTCGCAGATATCATTTCTTTCTAGAAAGGAACATAGTTGTGAAGATACTGCTTTTTCTAATATCTGACAGAAAAGGCAGATTCGAGATCGGCCTGTAATTGACTAATTCTGTAGGATCAAGTTGTGGTTTTTTAACAAGCGGTTTTACCTCCCACCACTTCATTACTGACCTCCAGAGCATAACTGCACCTGCACAAGACCACAATGCATGCTCTACTGTTTCTTCTTGACCACATCCAACCAGGCACTTTGGGGATCTGCCAGAACCATGTCTATACAAGCGTTCCCTCACGGGCAACCTGCCCAGTGCTGCCAACCAGTTTTAATCTTTACAGAACCCTACCAAATATGTGGGTTGTAACATAGCCCAATCTACTCTATATGGCAGCATAATTTTTTCTGTCCCTTCCACAATCTCATCCCTCAGCCTACTATACAGCAACTTATGCTCCAGAATCAAGGACTGCTCCAAACACCACGGTTTACCCGCTACAAAATTTGTCATCCTCTGATAATAGTCTGGCCTATCCGTCGACCATGGCATTGTTCCTTTCCATGAACATATAGATCTCAAAGGAAAGGCTAGCCAAAACTGCGCAAAAAAACTTGCCTTATGCACGGACTCACGGGTCGCTAAGCGGGCTAAAAAAGAAAAGAAGATTGCAGCCATTTTTAAGGGGATACAAGGAATCCCCCTTCCTCCTTCCTTCACGTGACAGTACATCTGTGTCCTTGCCACCATTTCAGTCCCATTCTTCCAGAGGAAGGAAAAGACTAGTTTCTCCAACTTCTTTCCATACCAAAATGGCACCGGGAAGATATAGGCCAAATAATTCAAACTAGGTAGAAGGTCTGCCCTCACCACCTCCAACCTACCCCACATTGATAGTCCCCTTAACTTCCACCTAGTCATCTTTGCCTGCACTGTCTTGAACCTAACCTCCCAATTCTCCTGAGCGCTGTTTCTTCTGAAAAACCGAATTCCTAGGATATTCAGCCCTTCTGCACAAACGCTGTAGCCCCCCGGCACTGCTGTTCTATTTACCCACTGACCTGCAAACATTGCTGAGGACTTACCCACATTCACGCGCGCTCCTGAGGCTTCACAAAAGCCTTTCAGGATTTTGCCTGCCACCTCAAAATCCCGGTCTGAAGTACGGAACAAGGTCATGTCGTCCAAATATGCGACCACCTTTGAGCGTGTACCCTTCCCCCCAGGCAAATGAACCCCTGTCAAAACTGGAGCCGCCCTCAATGCCGCCATCAAAGGTTCCAGGGATAAGATATAAAGTAAGGGCGACAAAGGACACCCCTGTTTAACCCCACCTAACTGTTCCACCCTCCCTGAATAATATCCATTTATCCCTATTTTACTTGAGGCCCTGTTGAACAAAAGATTGACCCATGACCTAAAAACAGGGCCAAACCCCATGCGCAGCAGGATGGACCTTAAGAAAGCCTGATTCACCCTGTCGAAAGCTTTCTCCTGGTCTAGGCTCAAAATCGCCAGAGGAAACTGCCGCTGTTCCGCCCAGCTTATTATGTCCCTGGCTAAAGCTAGGTTCATACTGCTTGTTCTGCCTGGCACCCCACAGGTCTGATCTGGCTGTACCACTACCCCAATTACCTTCTTGAGCCGCTCTGTTATCACTTTTGCCAATATTTTATAATCGGTTGTCAACAAGGTTATTGGTCTCCAGTTTGCTAACTCCTCTTTACTACCTTTCTTATGTAACAGCGGCATCAAACCTGTTCTCATGGTCTCCGGCAGTTCACCTTTGTTAAAATTTGTTAAAACACCATCATTTTTGTTAAAATTGGACCCACTCCAGATGGAAGGCCCTGGGGTCCAAAGCTCCTCCCACTTCCTGTAATTCGATAAAAACGGCAAGGCACATTCTTGCAATAAAAACACATCTGACTTAAAAGATTTTAAAAGGGATAAAACGCTCTGTGCTCGTAAATTGCTCCTCACACTTCTCACATTTATTGTAGAGATGGTGAGGGCCATGAGCAGTGTAGTTAAAAGAATATGAACTTTTAAAAGAAGACTAATAAAATACATACAGAGGCATCTTTAAAATTATGTTACATCTTGTTTCTCATGCCTCTCCTTTCTCCCATGGGGACTGGGTTCAGGAGGGCAAGAGCTTGACACCTCTGGAACCACAGAGCTGAACTCTTGCGGCTCTTTTGGTGTCGATGTTCTTAGCTTAAAGGGGTCATATAATGGTACATGCACTTTTACAAGTTGATTGTACTGAAATGTGTGCTGGCAGTGCCTGTACACAACCATCATAAAATGATAAAAATCCATCCAGTGTTTTTGTTTTAATCTCCTTATATGTTTTCCCGTGCCTCAAATTGAGCCGTTCGATTTTGTGACGTCACACGCTCGGAAGCCCCTCCCACGAGTGTTGATTGACAGCATCGTTTCAACACAGACCCGCCCTCGCTCAATCATAGTCTGCGCGGACCGGCGCGGTCATTGTTGATATACTGGAGCACTGTCTATGAGCAGAATGGCGTCTAAGCGATTGTGGTGTTCTGTTCTTGGGTGTAATAACGAACACAGCAGTCATTTTAATGTTCCTAAATCCGAACCGCTGAAGACGCAGTGGCTGAGTTTGTTTTTGAAGGGAATATTCCC